CTATTGGCTAGGATTTTGTTGAGAATTTTTGCATCTATGTTCATGTGTCCTCTACTTTTTGATCTTTGCTGTTATTGCTGGTGTGAGATGATATCTCATTGTTTTGATTTGCATCTCTCTAATGGCTAGTGATAGTGAACATTTTTTTTCATATGTTTGTTGTCGCCCAGATCTCCTTCTTGGTGAAGTGTCTGTTCATGTCCTGTGCCCATTTTTTAATTGGGTTATTTGTCTTTTTCTTTCTACAAAGTTTTTGAAGTTCCCTACAGTAGATCACTTTGGGTAGTATTGATATTTTCACTATGCTAAGTCTTCCTACTCATGAACATGTTATGTTCTTCCATTTCTGTATGTCTCTTTTGGTTTCTTGTAGTAATAGTTTGTAATTGTGTTTGTATAAATCATTTGGATCTCTTTTTGGGTTTATCCCTATGTGTTTTATTTTTTTGGTAGCCATTATAAGTGATAACCATTTTCCTTATTTCCTTTTCAGAGTTCTCTTTGTTGATATAGAAGAACCCCAGTTGCTGTAGTAGTGTGGTGTAGTGTGGGCTGCTAATCTCACAGTCAGTTCGAAATTATCAGCAGTTCCGCAGGAGAAAGATAAGGCTTTCTGCTCCTGTAAAGATTTACAGCCTCAGAAACCCTATATAGAGTCACTGTGAGTTGGAAACAACTCCACAGCATACTACCACTGCCGCCACCACCAACAACTGATTTTTGTATATTGGTCTTGTACCATGACACTTTGCTCACTCTGTTAGTTACAGTAGCTTTCTTGCTGAGTCTCTGGGATTTTCTATGTATCAGATCATATCATCTGCAAATATGGATAGTTTTACTTCTTCTGTACCAATTTGGATACCTTTTGTTTCCCTGTCTTGTCTTATTGCTCTGGCTAGGACTTTCAATACAAAACTGAACAGGAGCGGTGGACATTCGTGTCTGATTCCCATTCATAAGGAGAATCCTATGAGTCTCTCTGCATTGAGAGTAATGTTGACTGTAGGTTTTGTTACGTGATTTTAATTACAGAGGAATTTCCTTTCTATTCCTATTTTGCTGAGAGCTTTTAATCAAGAATGGGTGTTGGATTGTATCAAATTCTTTACAACATTAATTGATATGATCATGAGCTTTTTTTCTTTGGTTTGTGTCATGGATTACCTTGGTTGGTTTTCTAATGTCTTATTCCTGATATGAATCCCACTGGGTCCTGATGTATTATTTTTTCAACATGTTAGATTTTTATTGGCTAGCATTTTATTGAGAATTTTTGCATCTGTGTTCATAAGGAGTATTGGTCTACAATTTTCTTTTTTTAGGGGCGTCTTTGCCTGGTTTTGGTACCTGGGTTATACTTAATTCATAGGATAAATTTGGGAGTGTGCCATCCTTTTCTTTGTTCTGGAAAGGTTTGAGAAGAAGTGGCTCAAGCTCTTTTCTAAATATTTGATAGAATTCTCCAGCAAAGCTGTCTGCACCAGGATTTCTTTTTGTTGAGAGTTTTTGTTTTGTTTCACAACCTGTTCAGTTTCTTCTTTTGTGATTAGAGTCTGTTCAAAATTTCTACCTTATTCTGTGTTAGTTTTGATAGGTTGTGTGTTTCTAGAAAATCATCCATTTTTTTATAGGTTTCCCAATTTGTTGGGAGTACAGTTTTTTGTAGTTTTCTGTCATAATCCTTTTGAATGTTTCTGTTGTGATGTTGCTCTTTCATTTCTTATTCATGTTATTTGCATCTTCTCCTTCTTTTCTTTTGTAAAATTTGCCAGTGGTTTGTCAATTTTATTAACTTTCTTGAAGAACCAACTTCAAGACTAGAAGTTGGTTCTTCATGAATTTCTTTTCCTAATTGTTGGAGTTGTTGGGTTAAAGTGCTGAATTGGGATCTTGTTTTTTTGAGTTTGATTTTTCATTTTATTTGGATCCATAATCAACACTCATGGAAGCAGCAGTCAAGAAATCAAATGATGTATTGCATTAGGCAACTCTGTTGGAAAAGACTTTGTTAAAGGGTTTAAGAGGAAAGATGTCACTTTGAGGACAAAGGTGGGCCTGACCCAAACCATGGTACTGTCATTTGCCTCGTGTGCATGCGAAAGCTGGACAATGAGTAAGGGAAATAAGTTGCCCCAAAGCCCTAGCTTTTTTATCCCTCTGTTCTGTTGATCTGCAAGAGAAAGATGAGGCTTTCTGTTCCCACAAAGATGTACAGCCTCAGAAATCCTATACAGGACCACTATGGCTCAGAGCAGATTCTGGCACACAATAACAACAGTTCTGTTGACCTCATTTGGGTCATGTGCTCATTCTAGAGCTGATGAATAAATGCCAGATGCTGATTGGTTTAGCCTGAGCTCCTTATCTGAGGGGTCAGTTTCTCCTGAACACGTGGGTAGAAAAAAAATGAATTCTGATCAGAGAACCAGCTAGACTCACTGTACAAACAATAGGAATAGTTTGAAAATCTGGAAATGAACCATTGGGATTCTTAGTTGCAGATAACAGAAAACTCAGCTTTTAATGGTTTAAGCAAATAAGAGCATCTGTTGGCCTTGGTGTGGCACTGTAGGATAAGCACTGGACTGCTAGCCACAATGTCTGTAGTTCAGGTCCACCAGCCTCTCTTGGAAACCCTATACAGGGTTTCTGTGAGTCAATTCAGTGGCACTTAACAACAAGAACATTTGGACTTACTGTGGAAGAATCTAGAGGTAGATCAACTGCATCCTGGTCGATCTAGGCTCAGAGACTTTTCTGTCCTCTGTTACTTTTTCTCCAGAATCTGAGTAGAGAAAAGAAAGCATTCCAGTCTGGCTAAAATGATAGAAGTTATTTGTGTTTTATTTTCTAATTTGAAACTAATAATGCCATATTATATAATGATTTGTAACTTATAGCTGATTTCTATTTTTAACTTCTATGAAATGTTTTGACTTTAGCTCTGCAGAGTGTGTAATCAAGTGAATTTGAAGATGTTTTTAAGATCATGTGGAGTGGTTATATACATTCTCTTTCTCTCTCTTTTTTTTTCAATTTTGGTCCCATAGATGAAAATATGTTTAGAATCCTTAAGGAAGCAGGAAATCAATGTGTAAAGGACAAAAACTATACAGATGCCCTTAGTAAATACAATGAGTGCTTAAAGATTAACAACAAGGAATGTGTCATATATACAAACAGGCAAGTTCTTTATAACTGGATGTATTTCTTTCTTTTTTCCAACTATTGTGAATCAAGTGACGGTTAACAGACAAGATCATCAGCTTTACTTTAAACCAGTCATATGGTTTTTCATCTCAATGATTACAATCCCTTCCCTGCAACTACAGCTATTCTGCTTCCTTCCTGTAATTTCTCTTTTGCATTTTATTTTTCACAAATCAACAAAGCAAATATATTTGATGTACACACACAAAACAAAAAATCAATGTTCATATAAATGTACCAAGGGCACATTTTTGCAAGCCAGCCTCCTGCCCACAGGCATATAGCCTTTCTCAGTCCATGGGCCTAGAGTCCACAGCTGTTCTATCTATCCATGCCATTTGATGTATTTCTTATGTTAATATTTTTTATTTTGGGAAAAAACCCAGCAAAAACCCAACAAAGTGTTAATTGCCGAAGTTTGCTTTTCATGGTGCTGGGCGTTTTATGTAGTACATTGTGGCAGATAAGTGTAGGGCCAGAGACATTGTGGAGAGATCAGAAATGAGGTGAGGGAGGGACTGGAGGTCTGATGTACTTCCTGTTGCTGCTTTGCCTGGTCCTGCTCTGAGTTAGCCTTTCTTTGTATTTCATTTTCCATTTGCAGCTAGCTGGGCCAACCTGGTAGCAGTAGGAATCTACCTACTGGTAGCCTGTCAAAGGGGAAGTGTCTTAGGAAGCAGTATGTCAAGGAACTGGTATCTTCTGTGTGAGCAACCAGAATGGGCAGGTTGTTCTAAAATGCTGCTCAGGTGGCATCTTTACCACATATGGTAAAAGATACCTCTGTAGAATTTGGTTAGTGGATAAAGGATGTGTATCAAGGAGGAATAAGAGATAGGTCCCTAAGGGAATTCACTACCTGAGTTTCCTAACAATTTCAGATGAATTCTTTTTAGCTCAAGCTCTCACCACCTTGTTTTTTTTTTTTTTCATGTTCTCATCTGTTTCCATTTTCCCCCCAAAACACATCTTTTGTCACTAAATCCATCAGATACTTTTTGCCCCTCCTGTTCCCATTTCACCTGTGCAGTGTTGGACAGTACTGACCCCCGGGTTTTCTAGAGGCCCCCGTCTATCCTGGCTGCTCTGTGCCCTCAGCAGATGTTTCCTTCCCTGCTGTTCTCTGGCTTCTGAAGGTCTAGCTCTCTTTCTTGGCTCTTCATGCTTTCTGCACTCACTCCTGGCACTTCCTCTCCTTGACTTCCCTTTCCAGTCAGTCACCGCATCTTCCCTGCTCTCTTCCTGATGCCTGCAACACCCCTACCGTGGCCCTGAACAGTCTTGTTCCCTCTGGTCTCATTCCCCAAGTTGCCGCTGAGGTGATCTTTCTGAAACATGGTGAGCATGTCGGTCCCTATTTAAAAAACATTCAATAGGCTGCTATGAAGCTCAGGATAAATCTCTGACTTCTTTACCATGATTTACAAGCCCCTTCACAAACTGGCCTGCGTGCACTGGCCGCAGAATTTGTCTCAGCTCATTGAGAGTGCCTTGCTTTCTTCAACCATAGGCCTTAACTCAGGCCTCTGCACCCCCTCAACCCAGCACCTATGCATAGCTGCGTCTCACTTCCTACTTTGGGGTTCAGCTTAAATGTCACTTCTTCTAGGAAGTCTTCCATAACTACTCCGTCCCCCATGTCAGTCCCAATAAAACAGAGCACCCTGAATGTTTTATTGTGTCTGCTCATTTCAATTGTTTTCTCCACTCTCCTGCTTTTTCTTTGAGGCTAGGCTGATTTTGTATTTGCAATTGTATATCCCAGTGCCATAGCTTCATGTATTATAAGACAGTGCCATTACTGGAGTAATATTATATTTCTATTGGAAGTGCTATGGTACAAGAACAGACTCTGACTAAGAGTTACTATTTTCTGGTTTTGATTAGCTCTCTAACTGTGTAGATACACTGTCTTTACATTTCATAACTCTGGGTCCTGTTGCATCGTGCCAGAGCGCTCTGTTACTTGAAGCTGTGCCAGTTTGAAGAGGCAAAGCAGGACTGTGATGTGGCGCTTCAGCTGGATGACGGGAACGTGAAAGCTTGCTTTAGACGAGCTCTGGCTCACAAAGGCCTCAAGGTGAGGAGATCAACGTTTCCTGTAAATTTCAGCTCTGAACAAATCAAGTGGTTTTAATGAACATTAGTATGGGGGTCAGGGAGTGGGGGATGTAAACTGATGCTGGGATTTCATCTGAGTTCCTTACTAACGCGTCCCAAAATGCTGGAATAGGTCTTCGAGTTTAGTCCTAATTGTAACGTAGTTCCTCCTTCCAGCTGAAGAATTAATGTTTCCAAGATTTATAGGTAAAATATAAGAAAACTCTACACCATTAGTTTAGGTGAAAGAGAATGTTTTAAAGTAATTACACTTTTTTTTATGCTGACTCTTCCGCATGAAAATCCTGATGAATGAATATTCATCTGGGTAAAAAATAATGCCACAAGGAAAACCCAGAACATGTTGGGAAATGGCATTTCCTCAAGTGGTATTTTTAATATAGCAAATTTTATTAAGGTCTTTGTTGTTGAGTCAGTTCAGTCTCAGTAGTAACCCTGTATAGGGTTTCTAAGGAGTGGCTGGTGAGTTTGAACTTGGAACTTTATGATTCAAATCGATCTTGCGGTCCAGTGCTTATCCTATAGCACCACACCAGGACTCCTTATTAAGGTCTGATATGTTGAAATTCATACCTTGTAAGTATGTAGCTCCTTGGCTTTTAATAAATGTAAATTCCTGTGGAATTTACAAGATAAAGAACATTTGCATTTCTCCAGAAAGTTCCTTGTACCTGTGCAGTCAATCCTAGTCCCTCACCCACCTCCCAGACAATCAGTGATCTAATGTGACTACATTCTTCCTGATGGTAACATAAAAGATGCAGTGTGCTTTTGCCCTCTTTTGCTCAGCATAACATCCGTGGTGGTGGGGTGGTTGTCTGCCACTGAGATCCAACTCATAGCAACTCCATATAGGGTTTCCCAGGCTGCAAATCTGTACAGGAGCAGAAACCCTTATCTTTCTCCCGCGAAGTGACTGGCATATTCCAACGACTGACCTGCGATTAGCAGCCCAGCGTCTGTGATTCTTCATATTGTGTGTATGTCAGGAATGTGTTCCCTTCACCATGGAGCTGTATGGCTAGACCATGGTGTGTTTCAACATTGATGGGTGGGTAACATTTGGATTGCTTCCAGTTTGAGGCTGCGCTTCTTATTAGTAAGCTGTTTTGGCATTCGTGTCGACATCTTTCACGGACTTGTTCACAAACTGCACCGCTGGAGCGTGGAAGGGGAGGCTGGGGATGGAGAGGCATGTCATGATTCTGAAGGATGATAAATGGTGATGGGTGGATGTGATTTGGGGGCAACATGGAAGATAGTAGGTGGGTCTGCGAGAGAGCCTGTATGCAGTAGGGAGAAAAGTGAGAGGCCACCAAGGTGATACATAGATGCCTGAAGGAAGTTGCTGGCAGAGGGAAGAGAAGGGAAGGGATTACCATATTTTTATGGAAATAACTAGCACTGTATACTTTTTCTTGCAGATTGTGCAGCCTGTTTGTGTGCATTAGTTTTCTTTGTGTGCTATGCGTGTGGTCGCATTATGTGTGGGAAAATATGGTAATTCACTTGTCCCTTCAGGGACAAACTTGTGTGAAGGTGAAGTTGACAGGACGTAGTGAGCAGCAGTATGTGTATTGAAGAATTAAGGACAGAGCTCCCTCCCATGTTTCTAGACTAGAGTGGCCAGTGCAGGATGATAATGGAGAGTATGCAGGAGGGGCAAAGGGCCGAGCTCAGACCTTACTAAGTCTGAGATGTTCGTCTCACCTACAGGTTGTATCTAAAGCTACATTCTGCTGTAAGCCTAGGTTGTGCTGGGAGGGGCAGTCAGTCTTCTCCTGGTGTAGATCAAGGTAGAACAGTGTCTGTCTGGAGGGATCCTGCTGTTGTTCTGGCTACAGGCCACTCAGGCTCCAGGGAGAGGTTTTTATCAGCACAGAAACACCATTGGACGGTCCCTAGATGATCTTTGCAGTGTCCATGTGACCTTCCTCCTTTCTGATTTGTTAGCAGTGTACATATTTGCATACTTTGTGCAAAGACTTGTAGCAGGTCTGCAGCACCAAGAATAATTTTTTTTAAAGGCGACTTCTTTGGAATTCACTTTGAACTGCTTTTGGGCTTAATGGATTTAGGTAAAAGAGAGAGAGATCTGTATGACTCATGAGTTTAGAAGAAGTCCATACTCTACAAGTAGGTTGGTCTCTTCCTGACTGCCTAGCTGTTTGAACCTGTTCATCTGATTCAGAGTCACAAGCTGGCCTTAGTGAAAGACTGGCATTTTCTACTAACTTGGAATGAATTCCAGAAATTGTATTATGATACAGAAAGATAATCCCAAATTTGAGTAATCCTCCCCTACTAGATTATGAGTCTGATAGCTTGTTTTTCTGGTTTGACTTCTTCCAGCTTGATTTAAATGTCCTGTAGTTGGAAATATGTGCCAAGTGAGTTTAATTTCAGGATCTTCAAAGGCTACCACTGCTTATAAAATGCGTCAAATCGCACATTTTGGTCGCTCCAAGTGAATGTCTGCTTCCTCACACCTTTTTTTCCCACTTGTTACTAAGTGCTGGTGAGTCGGTTCCAACTCATAGCTACCCTGTGAGGGTGGCCAAGGAGCAAATGGTGAGTTTAAACCACTGATCTCGCAGTTCAAACAGACCTTACAACACCACACCAGGACTCCTAGCAGCCTTTATTACTTTGTTTTGCCAGTTTTGAAAAAGATCACCTTTCCTTAAGCTGTTCACCAGAAGAAAAGACAACTGAGCATTTTGCCTTTTATACACTTTGTTTCTTTTATCAAGTGCCAACTACCTATTAATGTTGGATGTACAGAGGTGGTGCCCGTCTTGACACCCTTGGTCACTGGGGAATGCTGCAAGCAAAAAGTATCCCCAAAAGTACTCTCATAGAATAGTTATTGCTACTGGAGTTTTAGCAGTCACACACGTCTGTGGTTGCACGGATCTCTTTTCTTAAAGGCGCAGTAAGACTGCCGTTAGGTGCCCTGGAGTCCATTCCACTCATGATAGCTCTCCACACAGCAGAAAAGCATACTGCCTGGTTCTACATCAGCCTCACAGTTATTGCTGTGTTTGAGCCCTTCGTGGCAAGCTGTTGTGGTAGTTCATCTCATTAAGGGTTGACCTCTTTGTTGCTGATCCTCTGCTTTACCAAGCATGATGTCCTTCTCCAGGGACGGGGCCCTCTTGATAGCATGTCTAAAGTACATGAGTCACACATACACACAAATAAAGTACATGAGTCACACACACACACAAACAAACAAAAATAAAAAATAAAGTACATGAGACACACACACACAAACAAAAATGAAAAAATAAAGTACATGAGACACACACACATCACAGCAACATGCTAGCTACTATAGGACCACAAACTGACAGAAAAGTGGTGGAATGAGGTTGCTAGCAACTTTTCATATTTTTCCAAATCCCTGCATTTCTGTGCTCTTCCCTGGTTTCTGCATGGCCAGTTTCTCTTGATTTCTCTAACAACAGCATCAAAAGAAAACTCTTTCTCCCTTATTAATAGCCATCTCAATCTTTGCTTATCTTAACTGCACTAATGTCAGTGTATACTTGATTTATTAGTTTACTTGTCTTTTTATTGTCTACCCTTTTCCCCACCCACCTCCAGCTCCACAGATGTAAGCTTTCACAAGGACAGGGATCATCCTGGTGGTATGGCACTGTGGATTAATATGCTGAACTGTAAGGTCAATTTGAACTGCAAGGTCAGTGGTTCAAGCTCACCAGCTCCTTGGAAACCCTATACAGGGTTGCTGTGAGTCAGAACCTACTCGACAGCACTTAAGAACAACAAGGAATTCTGGCTCCAAAGAGCACTGGTGATACTGTGGCTAAGTGCTCGGTGGCTAAATGAACAGTTGGCCATTCACTGCATAGGAGGAAGATGAGACAGTCTGCTTCCATAGAGACAGTAGCCTTGAAAACCCAGTAGGATAGTCTGCCCTGCTCTGTAGGGTTGCTGTGAGTCTAACTCTACTCGATGCCAGTGGTTTGGTTTTAGTTTTATTCCCAGCTCTTAGCATATAACTGTGTTCAGTGAATATTTGTTCAGTGAATGGACCTGACCACTCTCTGACTTCTGACAAGCTGGATCACCTCCTCTTACCCTTATCAACCTATAGTAACAGTTTTCTTCTGTCTTCCCCAGCCGGACAGATTGTTCTATGGCAGGGGCTTCTACTGAATGAGCCAAGAAATCACATGCTCCATTGGCTGTTAGACTTTCAGTCCCAAGTTCACAAATGTCTACTCTCTGACTTCTTATTTGAGCTACTCACTGTTACCACTCCCTTGATCACCTCTGGTCATCACTACCTTGATCCACCCCAAAGAGAACCTCTCTATGCCTCAGTTTCCTTCATGTCCACTTTAAAATGTTAGTCTTTATAGGGTTGTTGTGAGCATAGAATACTACTACTTATAAGATTCTTACAACAGTCAGGGTTAGCTATTACTACTCCCTTAATTTTCCATACTGCCACACTCCCTTGCCTGTTACATATGGTTCCCTGCCTAGAATATAAATGGTACCAATTTTCCCTAGCAGGTTCCAGCTGCACCAGTGTTCCACAGTGGTATGTGGAGATGTGTTACTAATAGTACGTAACAACCTAAATCATTTTTATAACAAGCTTGTAAATAATTTACCTTTTTATAAGTTAGAATGGGTTCAAGGTTGTTCCTGTAAGCTTGACACTCTTCTTCTGGTATGTTGTTGAGGTGAAGGAGAAAGGGCATGAAATTACAGCTAGTCCCTCAGGAATGTCACATAACCACTGTCTTATCTCTGTGCAGCTTCCAGTGCATGATGTTAGTGATGTGTCAGGAATACTTGGAGAGGTTACACAGCATTATGGTTCTTTGCCTCCTCACCGCATTATGTTTGTAGTCAGTAGTTCTAGATTGAGACCTGTCAGAGCAGCCTGTGCTTTTGTGGCATTTGTCTGCCACCAGGCTC